GGGCCTGGTCACTGGCAGAACACTGCTCCAGGCGTGTGACAAGGTTATTTTCACTCACAGGGATTGGGACATATCCCTGGTTTTGCTCACTTGGGTTTTACCTGCAGAGCAGAGGAGATCTGACCCACTGAAGGGCCACGCTCATGGAGAGGGGGGTGGGTGCACGGCCTGCCCTGCTCAGCCCCGGGGCACTCCGGGCTGTCTCCCACTGTGGTGCTTTCCAGAAAGCAGAGAATTGCCTTTTATTGTCACAGACTTCTTGTTTTTCTCTCTTCTAATGCGTGACTTTCTACACAGCTGTCAGGGAGGTGAGAACATGAGTCATTTCTCAGCTGAAGAAAGAGCTGTGCCATCTGTCTGGCCCTGGACTGGGGTCTGAAGCTGGATTTGTTCTGCACGGACGTGTTCCCGTTAGACCCAGATGTCCTCTGGTTGTGAGGCCAAGTGCTCCTGGTCACTAGTAACTTGGTGTTTCCTCTTTCACCTCCCTGGTGCCTGCAGGCAGACAGCCAGGTGGACCTGGTCCGGCAGCACTTCTACGAAGTCTCCCTGGAGTATGTCTTCAAGGTGCAAGAGGTGCAGGAGAGGAAGATGTTTGAGTTCGTGGAACCTGTAAGTGACTGCTCAAGCTGCCTCAGGCTGCAAAAAGCTGGAAGATTGTGGGGAGGAGCAGGGGCTTGGGGCAGTGGGGGTGCACGTGTGCAGCGGGGTGGCTGGGGGGTCCAGCCTCACCTCACAGCCCCTCCCTCAGAGGGAGATTTGGGGGGAGAAAGCCCCTGTGTGAGCCCTGGGGCACAGAGCCATTAGCTCAGCAGCTGTATGTGTGCTGGAAACATCTAATGTGTTATTGTGTGGGCATCTCTGTCCTGGTGGGCTGGACTGCAGGGCCCACTGGCAGTGGAAGTGTTGATCAAACACTAGAGGATGGGGGGCAAGAGGCTGGGGTCAGACTCTTGTCAGTGATGCCCAGTGACAGGACAAGGGGAAACCGGCACCAAGCGGAACCCACCCTGCTGTGGGTGAGCTGCTGGAGCAGGGGTTGGATGAGATGATCCCCAGAGGTCCCTTCCAACCCCACCATTCTGTGTGGCTGTGTGATTCTGTGAAAGGAAAAATAGGCTTTATTGGGGAAAAAAAACACAATAAACCTGTGATGTTCACAGAGGAGAAAAGAGTGCAGAGTGACAGAAATAGGGGGTAAAAAAAAGAAGAATTTTCTGAGATCACTTTTGCTCAGGTGCAGAGTCCTTCAAAGCCCCTCTGGGAAGTTTCAGACCTCCCAGCTCCCTGCAGAGTTTTTTCCTGAGGTTCAGCGTGGGGCTGGTGCTGCCGACACCTCCCGGCCCTGCTCCTGGTGCTTGGGTGACACAGGGACAGGGGGACAGCAGGAGCGAGGGCTCCTGGGGCAGGGGCTTGCCCTGGCTTTGGGGGAAGAACACAGGCTCTGCTTCAGAGTCCATTTGGAGGAGGTTTTGGAAGTGAAACGTGGAGTGAAGCATCTTCCAGGGGCTGGCACCGAACCCTGCCAGCGGCTGCTGAGCATGGCTGTGGCTCTCTACTGACCACTGGCTCTCTGCTGACCACCAACTCATTTTACCCCACTGCAGCTGCTGGCCTTCCTGCAGGGGCTTTTCACCTTCTACCACCACGGCTATGAGCTTGCCAAGGACTTCAGTGATTTCAAGACAGAGCTGACAATCAGCATCCAGAACGTAAGTGTGCCCCGTGCCCGTCGCCGTGGTGCTGCTGTGGGGCAAAGTAACCCTCCCTGCTGCATCCTGACAGGGGTGGTGCTGTCCTGCTGCTCTGTGCCAGCATGCAAACTGTGCCACTGAAAGCAGACTTCTTGTAACTAATGCTCCCTGGAGGACACAGCCCTGGTGGCAGCTCCTTCCCTGTGGCACAGCTGAGGCAGGGGCCCAGCTTCCCCAGCGTCTTGTGTGCCCCATGGCTTCAGTGAGAGCTTTGGACAGGCCTGTGAGGGTTTTGGGGTGCTGTTGGTGTGAAGTGCAGCACTTTTTGCTGTCCCAGTCTTTGGTGCCCACCCGTCAGATGTGCATGCAGGGCTTTGTCACGTTGGCATTGCAGCTTTGCTGTCCTCTCGGGTTCTAAAATGACTCTTTTTCTACCACTTGGTAGACTTCTTCCAATGCCTTTTGGTGAGGCATTAGACCGGGCTGCCCAGGGTGGTGGTGGGGTCACCATCCCTGGAGGGCTTCAAAAGACATGTAGGTGTGGTGCTTCAGGATGTGGTTTAGTGATCCTGGTGGTTCTGGGTGATGGTTGGACTTGATGATCTCAGAGGTCTTCTCCAACCTTAATGATTCTATGATTCTACCCCTTCAGACTGGTTTCATTCTTCTGAAACAACTTTTTCACAAAACTCATCATACAAACAACTTGCCAATTGGCACATTATTTTTCTTTCAGCTTAAATCCAGGCACAGGAAGGAAACCTGTCCTGTGGCTGCCAGTGGGCTCCACTGGCCCCATTTCCCACACAGGCTGTGGTGTCTCTGGGGTCCCACCTCTGCGTGGTGCCCCCTCGCTGCAGAGGAGGCCATGCTGGGCCCGTGCATTGCAGGGCACCTTGCTTGTGATTTGCAGTTTTCCATTCAGTTTCCCTTCTAATTTGCAGACAAGAAATCGTTTTGAAGGCACGAGGTCAGAGGTTGAGTCTTTGATGAAGAAGATGAAGGAGAACCCTCATGAGCACAAGAACATCAGCCCTTACACAATGGAGGGTTATCTCTACGTGCAGGAGAAACGTAGGTGTCGGGGTGGTGGAGCTGCCTGCCAGGCAGGGAGGTGTGGGGCACCCAAGGAAGGTGGTTTAGTGGGACCTGGGGCATGAAGGTCAATTCAGCAGGCTGTGAAATCCAGGAAGGAGAGGGATGGGTGGGATGTTCAGGTGGGAGTGGGGGAGCCAGGTTCACCCTGGGAGGGGGAACTGCTCTGAGTGCCTGATAAAAACACAACTGGTGTTGGCTTCCTAGGTCACTTTGGGACTTCCTGGGTGAAGCACTACTGCACCTACCAGAGGGAGTCCAAGCGCATCACCATGGTGCCATTTGACCAGAAATCTGGAGGGAAAGGGGTGAGTGCCTGCAGGGCTGTGCCCGGGGAGCCCTGTGGAGCTGCCAGCTCCCCCCAGGGCCAACGTTTTTGGCAAGGTGACACAAAGGCTGGTGAAGTGGGTCGGGTTCGTTCCAGCCCGACTGGAGGCCACGTGGAGAATTAAGTCTGCACAAGCAATTAAGACAAGCAAACCCCCACATGCCCCAGATCTTTGGAAGCTGTCAGCTGGGCTGAGAGCAGAGCTGCTTTCCCAGGAGGACAGAGCCCCTTGGACATGCTCTGGTTCATGCTCCAGCTCCACATTCCAGGCTGGTGCCTGCACACAGCTCTTAGTGAGCACAGGTTTGCAGCAGCTGCCTCTGGGCTGGGACTGGGCCTTTTTCCTCTTGTTTTTAGGTCCATCCTTTATTTACTTCTTTCTGTTTGTGAAAGGAGAGACCTTGGAGAGCTGAAGCATGTGCAGTCACAGCTCTGGAGGCTGGTCATGGGGGGGCTGTGCCTCTGCCAGGCTGTGGCTGTTGCTGTGGGCACAGGGGGTGGTCGGGGCTGGGAGCAGAGCTGGGTCATGCCCACCACACTCCAGTTCCATGGGCACCTGCTGCCCCATCCCTGGCTCCTGCTCCAGGGCCTGGAGAAGAGAACCTGCTCGTTGTTTTGCTCCTTCCCCCTTGCCTGTGATGTGGCCAGTGAAGCTGTTGTGTTTTAGATAGAGCCTCCTACTATTTCAGTCACATGCTGAAAATAAAAAGAAATAAGAAAGATATAGCCAAACATTTCTGAGTCTCCCAAAAAGAGCAGCCCTGGCTTTGGCTTGGGCTTTCCTGGATGAAAGGCATTGGGGGTGTTAGGATATGTGGAA